TCTTCCCCTTTCCCCTGAGCAGTGTCTGGGAACTCTTAGTACTTTTTTAGGGGTTGTGGTGGGGCCTGCCCAGAGGCTAAGGGGAAGGAATATTCTGGGCATTTCCTTTGAGCAACAACGTGGCTGCTCAGCTGCTAATGCACACCTAACGGTACCTTTCATAGAGCGGCAAGGCGCCCTTTAAATGAGCAGGCTCCAGGGGTGGGCTGCACTCTTGAGCTGAAGCCGCAGGTATGGAGTGCCAACATTCGACTAACCTGCATGCTGAGCCTAACGCCTATCACAGTGATTAACTCCAGGTACAGTGGGGGATGCTGCAGCAAATAGTGCACAGGGAAAAGCCCAATTAGAAATCGATTTGAAGGTCCATCCAGGTCCCACAAATGCCCCGCGATCTCCAGCCTCACACTGTCTCAATACTGACATTTCCCTCGTTTTAAAAACAGAGAGTCCCACGTGGGACAGGACACGCAGAATGGTGACACGGACTGCACACAAAACACTGCCAGATGCTTTACAGGAGACACACTGGCTGTTTGGAAGAAGGAGTAGGCAGCATTTTGGATTTTTTAAGGCTAATTTTCATTGTAAACACCAACTTTTTTTTTAAACGAAGCAACTTTCAAGACCCCATGCTGTGTGTCTGCACATTAATCTCTTTCAGGGCACCTCTGATCTTAAAAGAGCCAAAGGACTGAGCATTAACGTCTTCCAGCGACCTCATCTTGCCTCTTAAATCTCCCATCCACATCCTGACCTAGCTCAACCCTGCCCAGCTAATGAAAGCTGATGAGCTTGGAGCACGAAGGGGGCCCTGTGGAAAACATACCTTTTGCTCTTCCCCCTCCGCCCAAGGAGACAGTGTGAATCCAGCTGCCCCACTTTTAATGCCTGACTAGGCTTGTTCTGAGCTGGTACCACTTAAAGCTGGAGCCCATTCCACCTGTTTTTAATAAACACAATTCCCGTATAAGTGGCTTTGGTAACACACAAGTGACAAGCTCTCCACTTGTAGGGATTTAGAGCCCAGAAATCACGACGAAAACAATTTAAAGTGTCTTGTTCCTTAGTAGCCCCCGTAGGCCCTGTGGGGAGGGAGCCATGCTCATGCTGTGCTGGTTTGGTACCAGACAGCCGTTCCGCTGGCTGTCAGATGCAGTAAGTGCTGAGCCTGCAAACATCTGTTTTTAGTAAAGCTTATGTTAATCTCGTGTCCCAAGCGCGGTTCTGCACGTCTGCACCAAAACAAGGGCCTATGCATTTAATCCTGCTGCAGATGAAAGTTTATGAGCCACATCAGTTCTTCAATGCACTCAGAGAGACATCCTAAAAGAAGCCAGCCGTCCCTCCACATCCCTCACTAGGGCAGGGGAGGGCTAGAGTTACTGGGGATTAGTTACCTTAGATTTTCTTCCCCCATTTTTTAGTACCTTGCTAACAACACCCGCCAACTTGCTCTATTTTAGCCTGGCAAGTAGGTGAATGAGGTGCCTTGCAGTACAAGGTTCCTGTTGCAGGCTCTGAATGGAGGGGCATCTGCATCTCAATGGATGAGCCCTGCTGTGGAAACCCACAAATAAGATACAAGCTCGTTAGTGACGAATACAGCGCAGGTGACCTTATTTGGGCCATTCCCCCTTCTGTAATGTGGAGGACGGAGCAGGCTGCACCTGCTGCTTGGGACAGCTTTGAGGCTGGGGTGGGACGACGTTGCTTCCGGGCGTTAACGAGCTCTTCTCCTTCGCTTCCTTGGGATCAGTCTGTCCTGTGACCAGGCCTGACCTCTTAATTGATAATAGTCTCTGTATGACACAGGACCTGCCGGCCTCCCGGACATCTCTGGAAATGCTGCACCGATGTTCTTTATGCGCACGGGCTTTAGGCTTGGCTTGACAGAGCAGCTGGGGAAACACGCAGAGGCCACTGCTGGCTGGTTTCTGTTTAGGCAAACAAAACACTAATCTCTATGGACTTTTATTTCCATTGAAATCTCAACGGAGAGATTCAAGACCGAGGCTGACCCAGGCTCTGCTCTCCGCAGCTCCCCTCAAGCTCTGGGCTTCTGACTTTCATTCCGGGTGCAGGTTCCTCCCCCAGGGCCTCCATTCTCTTGGCTCACTAGTCTCGGTTAACACCTTAGCCCAGTCGGGCCTCCTTGAGAACGCCTGGACTCCTGGTGCATGCGAGTCCTTGTACCTGTCGGGGTCTCATTGTTTCTCCATTCCTTTCTTTTGCAGAAGGGGACTCCAGGTGCTTTCTTCCCATTCCCATTAATTGAAGTAGCTGTCCCTGTAGCCTGTGGCTGTTTGCTGCTCCTTAGTATTGGTCTCATATTCACGATTCTCACGGCAAGGAAGAGGCGCCAATCAGAGGGGACCTACAGCCCAAGCCAACAAGAGGTGGCAGGAGCTCGCTTGGAGATGGACAGTGTCCTAAAGGTGCCACCAGAAGAGCGCTTAATCTAGGCATGAGATGCACCTTGGCAAGGAGACGTACCTGCAAGGTCTGCTTTGACCTTGAGATTTTTCCAGCACTTGCAGCAACAGAGCCCCCTCTAGCTCAGCTCCTTAGGGCACTGGTGGTGGTGACATGGACTGACACGTACTCAGCAGACTGTTCCGGCTCTGGCACGTTACATGTTAGTCACGTCAACTAGACACTGCTGGATTGTGGCTCAAAATGAATCCCTTGACCTGCCACCTTTCACATCCCCGCTGGACTCCTGGTGAGACGGGGGTTCTGGAAGGTGATGTACGTATTTGCACCAGCTAAGAGATGTCCCTTGCTCCAGAGTCCACCTCTTCCACGGCAGCCACATTTTTAAAGACAGCTGAAAAAGGAGAAATTAGACACAAACTGCCACTGTCAGGGAAGATTTTCCTTGAGTTGCAAAGCAACTCTACTTTAATGGTACATATTGAGTTGAAATGTATAGAGGATATTTATGATCAGTTGTGTGATAGTTTAACTTCCCAAAAACGACTGCAGCCTTCTGTGCAGCCCTGGTGGGCTGAGGGTAGAGCATTTCCAAACCTGTTTTCACAACGCAGTCTTTAACAGCAACAGCAGCTGTGAACTCCTGCCTCCTGATAGACACAGCCTTCGAAGGAGCTGTCGGGAGCTACTGAAGTCATTAAACAATCAACACGTTTTATCAAGTAATCCCTATTTGGGATAGAACGTTAGCCATTCCCATGGGTACCGCACAGGAAGTGTGTAACAATAACCGTGTTTACGAGGGGGTGGGGCTGAGATACCTGCAGGATTGTGCAAGCCCAGTTCTTGGTGCCAAATGTTTGTTCTTTGTTCCCTGAGACAGAAGGATGGGGACAGCATCATCCAACTTGCAATAAGGGGGGGAGCGATGCAGTTGGGACTTGCCTTAAGAACTCAGTTTTCATCTCTATGAAAGAAAAGCTGTGAGCCACAACCCTTGCACCCGTTTTAATCTGCACTGGGAACCGATACAATGATTGGTTCTTCTCTCGGGCCTAGAAATTCTCATATGATAAAAATGAGCAAAACAGCAATAAAAAGGGGAGAGGGGCCTAGACGGGTCTTGTGCTGGCTTTGATTTTTCATGACATATGCACCTTTTTCTACCCATGAGCTCTGCGTAAAGTCAGTAACACCATGTTCCACCCCAGCAGCCAGCCTGGGCGCATCTTAGCAACTCCTCGCTTGTGGGAGCAGTCGGTGCCGCCGGGGCCGCCTTGCTCCTGGTCCTGGTGGCAGCCTCTGTGATCGCCATGAAGAGAAGAAGAGCCACTCAGGGAACGTACAGTCCCAGCCGCCAGGAGAAAGATGGGGCACGAGTGGAGCTATGGAACGTGATCAAGCTGCCGCCAACGGAGAGGCTGATCTGAGCAGTAGGTATGATTACAGGCGGCAGTTTTCAGCTGGTACAGTCGCTTGAATGCCACTGTTCTGTTGTCCATGGTAAAGCCAGAGATGCTCTCTGTGGGGCAATTCCATTCACCAGCTGATTTCTCTGCAGGATGGGGCAGCTGCTCACTCGTGATTGGTGGCAGTGAACCTTCTTGTGGGCGTTGACCTAACCCCAGTGAAAACAGCTCAGCTGGGAAGGGCGGGGGAACATAGGAAGCTTTCTGGGGCAGTTATTGGGCAAGTTATTTGTATACAAAACTGATGTGTCGCCCACATTGCTAGATCGCTTGGGCACTGCCGCTTCCCTTTCCCCGTCTGTACAGTATCCCTTGTCCTCCCTTTGTCATTTGACGGTTCATGTCAGCAATAATTCTCTCGGTGCCATGAAGTCAGCGTCAACATTATGTTGACCACTAGTAGATGGCAAACAGCAGCAAAAAGACAGTTCAGGGAGAGCCAGTTAACAGAGTAAGCATTTAATTTCCTCACCTAATGCAGAGTGCGATTCAAAGAAACCTGCCAGTGCAAGGGGGAGGCACCTCCCCACCCCCCAACACTCGACTGCACTTTGTGGAAGACGTTTTCCATGACTCCGTCTTCCCCAGAGGCAGACTAGAATCACCACACTGGAAGAACGTTAAAATGTGTGTGGCTGTTAAGACACTTGATTGTTTTATGACTCAATCAGTGGGGTATTGCAAGTGCCTTAGTGACAACAAATCACCAATTCCAGTATTAACTTTTTCTAACAGAATTTTTAGGTGGATCAGCACTTACAGTGAGAATGAGCTTCGTGGCCTGGAGACAGGGGTTTTGCAAGGATGTCCTGGGTGTAGGGTCTGCCACCTAAGCACACACAGCTCGAGTGGAACTGAATTCCTGAGGGAGAGAAGTGGATTGGACTTAGTGCTGCTCCACTAGAGTTTCAGGCCACCGTGTAACTGAGGATGGAAGTCACCGGCATGCAGAGGGCCAGTGTGTAATCTAGCATGATGGGGAGCGGGGCTGGGCCTTTGGGTAAGGCGAGTGAGGTGGTTGCCTTGGGGCCAGCGCATTCAAGGCCTGCGCTGCCCAGCTCCCGGGCCCGCCCACACACTGCCCTGACTGGGAGCCGTGCGGCTCAGCCAAACACAGCGTGCTGCCTTGGGCCCCATGTGCTCTTTGGCCGGGCCTGGCTGGCCCTTTCCACAGGGGAGAATTCCCCGCCCCCCATGTAAGAAATGTGCTGACCTGCGCAATGAATACATAATCCTGCGCTACACTTTGGTAAACGATATTGATTTTTCCCAGTGAAGGATGCACTCCTTCCTGTGTGTCTCCGTTCCCCCTTTTTAATAGCTGTCGCATGCAGTATTTCCTGATCGTCACCGTGTGTCAGACACTGTGCAAACACCTGCTACAGCACAGGCCAACCGAGGTCTAAAATCATTAGCATTTCATCATAATTATTACAAAGACCAGTGAGAAATACTTAATAAACAGTGTCTGCTCGTCTCTACAGAAGACTCCTTAATAAGCAGAGGTGTGAATCCACACACACACACCACAGCAGGCTGCCTTTGGAGGACACCCTCTCTACCATTTCGGTATTTGAAAGTATTAGTCTGTTTACTCTTGCTGTAAATATTTCTGGAATTGTACTAAAGGGAACAGGTCTACGATGAGAGATTCAGCCAGTCCTCTTCAGGGCAAGTCCCCGGGGCACCAATAAGGGTTTGAATGAAGACCATCTATTTTGAAAACACCTTTCACTTGTAGTGTGAAACGCACCTGGATTTTTGCACGTAGGATTAGGGTAGCAAGATGCCATCCCTCCCCTAGTGCAGGAGGAGAAGCATGAGGCGCTGACCATTCAGGGGCAGGGCGTTGGGAAGATCTTTACAGAAGAGATGTCAGTACCTACAGACTGCCATAGACGTATTATTTTGTATTAATGCCAATGCAATTTACCTTTGAGCCCAGTGGTCTGCTCTGTCTGTTCTTCAATGGTTGTCTACTGAGGTTTAACTCAAGTCTAACACCGCTGCTTCCAGACCCTTTAGCAATAGGACAGTGCCTGTGTTACACCCCACGGGCTGCAGGGAATTGGCAAATGATGAAACTGTGTTTGTGGGCAGCAGCATTTGAACCCTTGTGGAGAAAACAGGCCCTCCAAGGCAGGCCCTAACAGCTGTGATGCTCGCAGGGGCTCTTTGAGAAAGGGGATGAATTCACTTCCTATTATTCCTGCCTTAAGGTTGGAAGAGCCCACCATGGCCAGGGGACCCTTCCCACCAGAAGACAGTGACAGAGCCTCTCCCTGGAGCCATAAATCTTGAACCATGTCCCAAGTGCTCCTTGGAGTGAGATGGAATCGTGCCCTGGACTTACCTCTAGGGATGTTAACGAGTAGGCAACTAGCTTAGGCTTATCGATTAATCCTGTCGACTACTCACATCCCCTCCCCCCTTGCTGCCTCTATGTCAGAGGCAGCAAGGGGAGGAGGAAGCAAGAACAGGTGCGGGGGCAGCCAATTTAAAAGCCAGTTCCCCCCCAGCACTGGCCCCCCGGTGCCGCCTGCTCCCACCCCACACTGCTGCCTCTATCAGAGGCAGCAGCAGGGAAGGGGGAGCAGGAAGGCTGCCACAAAGTAGCCTCTGTCCATGGCAAGCCTGGGGCTGCCACCGGCAGAGGCTAC